TTGAAGGAACTTAAAGTACAGTAGATGCAGGTCGAAGGTCATATGGATTATTTTTTTAATTTCGCTCCGACATCCTTGTCGTACGACAGGTGTCCAGGCAAATGTCCCCCTCCCCCACCCCCGCTGGCGCCACCACTGTTGGTAAACAGTCAATCAAACAATTTATAGGCAAGTCAGATTGTCTATCTATAGACAGTACAGATTTCCCGGCTGCAAACTAATAGCTACTTTCTATAATAGAAAATAAAACTCATGATATTCAGTACTTTTATGACTAGTTTATTTATGACAGTACACAAGCTTTCGTGCACACAGTGCACTTCTTCAGGTGAATGTGTGTGCACTGTGTGCACGAAAGCTTGTGTACTGTCATAAATAAACTAGTCATAAAAGTACTGAATATCCTGAGTTTTATTTTCTATTATATATTAGACTAGTACGGCTTATCTATTTTTTATTTAGCTACTTTCTAGAATGCATGACACTCATCTTGATAGACTGGGCTCCAGTCCCTGAACTTTGTCTTAATCAGTGAAAATGCCTAAAAATTAATCAATTTTGGCACCAATGGCGTTCCATATTACATATTTGCATGGCGTTCCATAGTACACTTTTTCTGAGAATTTAGTTTCTCGACATAAACCGACGCTGGCGGAGCTCTCCGAAATGTTGCCAATACTACGGAAAATCAATAAATTCGAGACATTGGCAAGTCTATCATCTTGACAGCCAAGGCTCTTTTTTTTTTTTTTTTTTTTAACAAAGAATTGATAAGGAACTTTTCCATTGCTTGGCTATGACTGCAATGTAATCTTTACATCACTGTTAATTTACTTTGAGCACAATTTTTTACACTCAGATGTACATGAGTACAGGATGAAATACGTTTTTCAATAAAGAAATATTATGATCTGTGAACAGGTAAATGATAGAAACAAACATTGGTTACATTGTTATGAACAAACTTTGCCATTTGTTTCTATTTTTATGTTCAGTGCTACGCAGCGTACTATAATATGATATATATATATATATATGTATGTATCAATATTACATAAATATATGCATACAGTATACTATGATAAATGACAATAAAAAGAGATCATAGGCCAAAATAAACAAACTGTTGCTCAGCTCTTTATTCTTCCTTTCGCACCGAAACCATGACAGTCGAGTAACTGCCAAACAGGTCACGTGAATAAAACTCACTGATGTTGACCTCAGGTCAGATCAACATAAACATTATCATACTATACATTATATATATATATATATATACATTATATAATATATATATATATATATATATATATATATACCCCCTCTTTGGGACACCCTTATTAAGAGGACACTTTTCCATAAAATGAGGGTCAAACATCTTTTAACACTATGGCCAACTCCTATGAAGAAAGGGACATTTTGCCAAATGGTCAAAAACACTTCATTTTTTTCTCATTGTATCACAATGACAGCAGTCTCAAAGTAAAAAAATATCATTCAAATTTATATTTTAAAACCTTTTGAGTATTAAATCAGAATTTTCTCCACTAAAATCTTAAAGAGTTTAACATTGGTATTGGCCTACTGCATGTGCTATTTCGTATAAAATAATCTTGTCAATTTTGACCATTTTCCATCATTTAACTTGCCCATCAATTGCTGAAAATTTCTTTGTGTTTATGTATGTTTTATAATATTTATTTAATTAATTCATTTATTTGTAATTAATTACTCTACCAGTGAATAATGTAATGCTCTTTATTTTCACAGCTCTCTATTTTCGCGATTTACAATTTTTAAATATTTTGCAGCCTTTATTTTTCCGATTTTACAATTTCAAGTCATTTTTTAACATGATGCAGAAACCTACCATTATGTTTTTTAGCCTATGTTATATTAAGCGGGGTCCTAATGAGTAGAACATGTTAAAAAATAAATAAAAATAGGCTCTAAAACATTGAAACCCTGAATTGAACTGCCTGGGATACACCTTATACTAATATGCAATCAAATAAAATACAATAAAATATAGTTTAAACAATAGAGGAGATAATGTCTACACACACAGTGTCGGCGTTTTAAGGACGCATTGTGATGCTTCTTTATATGTTTTCTACCCCTTAAAAGGCCCCTTCAGCAATTTGGGACAAAATGAATAATGCTGATGAATATCCCGGGGCCCCCTTAAGGTCTGGGGAGCTCATAGCTTTAACACAACTGAATTAGAAAGTATACTGTGAGGAAATTCCTGCTTTTTTTGCAAAGAGCGTATTGCATTGAGGAAGTGGAGCATTGCGCACAAGACTAACTTGCTAATCGTCTCTTCCGAAATACACTCTGTCTCTTATACACATCTAGATGTGTATAAGAGACAGGTGTTGCGTGGGGCGGGCCGGGCGTTTAGAACACAAAAATTTTGCAGACCCCCTAGGATAGAATTATCTTGATCGGCCCCACTTTCAGCACCCCTTTTGGACATCTCTGGATCCGCCCCTGCTTACAGCACACATGTGGCTATGACCAGTTTATATGTACACACCTACATTGGACACAGGACCAATAGCACTGCCTATTACAAAATAAGGGGTGCCTTATTCACTTAGTATTTCCTAGTAAGGGCAGCTTGATGGAAAAGAAGATTGATACAATGATCTTTGTGATTCTTCTGATTGTTTCCAAATACTGCACCCATATTATGTACCGAATTCCAAAGATAAGTATGGGGGGGGGGGAGCTATTAGTATACTATATACTGTATAAGAATATTTCTGTATATACAATGTAACAGGCAAATCATTAACTATTTCATCTCCACTATGACAGCTCCTATTCTTCTTGATCGTAGTGTTGGGTACACTGAGGGTACATCATCCAAAGTAATATTGCCCGTAATCAATGGCCTAAAACAAAATAAAATCATCATTATCAACACTGTAGTAGCTATTATTATAATGATGATGATGATATAAATATTATCATAATATAATAAAACAATAATATTGATAATAATAATAGTTATATTGTAATATCCTTAATATAAAAGTAAAAATAACAATGATAGTAATACAAGTAGTAATAATAATATTGATAACAATAATGACAACATGATAATCATAAAATATAGATGATAAATGCAAAAATTCAAGTATTGAACTTACTTTACAACTCCACTTGCAACTTTGTTCATTACATCTCTCAAAATATCTTTGAGCAATGATTTAAGGAAGAAAAAGAAACTTATTTAATAATATTTAGTTTATTAAATGCTACAAAAACTTCAAAAACTACAAACATGGTCAAACCAAAATTGTATGGACTGTACTGTATATACTCGCGTATAAGGTACCCACGCATATACAGTAAGACAACCCCCGAGTTTGAAAATATTTTTGTTTTTGCCTTTAAGAAGACACCGCTTCACTGTCGAAATTCTACTTTTTTTCTGTCCAAATAATACCATTTTATGAGATTTTTAAAATTGTGTTCATTCATAGGCCTACTAACATTTCAGGAACTTCTTTGCAGTAGTAAATTTGTGTTACGGATTCCAAAAATCTAATTCGCACAAGAGACGAACATGATTTCAAAAATCTAAAATGTTTATGTCGCACGTATAAGACGACCCCTTGCTTTTATTTATTGTAATTTGCTATTCTAAGCCTTGTCTTATATGCCAGTATATACGCTAGTTGAACTAACTTTATAAGGAACCCGGCAAATCTTAGAGTAGATGTATCATAATTAAGATATGCTTTAGTGAGGCAGGTTACCTATCTGCAATAAAAAATGTCTAAAACTGCTCAAAAAGGAACTTAACCTTGAGTTTGGTCACTGCTTGGGTTTAAAAGAGAAGATGCACTAAAATATCACATATGTAACAAAATATCCTGGTTATGAGGCATCCAATTGTAAATGAAACCCAATCCGATATCACATTGATGTTTTGAATTCAGATTTAAAATTCTTTGAGTCATTAACCCCTCATTCCAATACAAAATGTTATACAATTATCTTACTTTAAAAAAAAAAATTTTTCAATTAAAAAATAATTTGATGTGTTTTAGGCTTATATTATCTTGTTTGTAACTGCATGGAAGACTTAATTGCAATTTTAAAAGGTCTTTGAAAGCTAATATTCAATGTTTCCATATTTAGCTATGAATTTTAATTTATGTCACCATACTTTACCTTGCTTGTTTTCATAGATCAATTTACAGGTTATTTTTTTAAATTTTGAATGTATTCTTTTCTCTGACATTTTTTACAGTCTGTGTGTTTGTTGTTGTTGAACTCTTGAGATAAATAAAGATAAAATATAGTCCTGCATTCATTATTATAATGTAGGGGACTGGCCTGTTAAGGAGACCATTTAAGCCTCTGCATTGTGTGGTAGGGTGAACAGTCCCATTTGATACCACCTTTCAAACATACCCAGGTACCCTGGGTGGTGAGAAAAAAAACATAGGTAAAGTGCCTTGTTCAAGGACACAAATGAATTGGACCGTGAGGGGTCATAAAATGATTAATTGAATATTGCATATAAAATTCATTAAAATGTTCTTAATTACAGTATAATTGATATTTAACATGTACAGTTATTTTTTGAGTCATGATGTTATTTAATGTTTTTTGTGTTGTTTGATGTTATTTTTTAGAATATGTAGTGTGCAAAAAGCAAATTTCTAATGTATTTTATTGTATATTGTATAAATGGTGTGAATTGCAAAGCATTTAACCCTCACCACATAACAAGCACTGCGTCAACATCTCCAATGTACCATGGGTATAAAATGGGTTTGTTTGCTGGTCACTCAATATTCAAAAGAATGTTTTTCAGTACTGTAAACCCTTGATTTCCATTATCTACATGTGTAAATACATTGTTCAAACATGATTCATATCACTTAACCTTTGACAAGTAGCCTATCCTAATACATCATTAGCTACAACATACATCAAAAGCCTACCTCATACATAGGTTTTTATTTCCTATCTTTAAGCTTCTTAATTTGTTTTTTGATAAATTAATA